TTCGAGACCAGCCTGGGCAACATGGTGAAACCCCGTCTCCACTGAAAAAATACAAAAATTAGCCGGGAGTGGTGGTGCACACCTGTAGTTCCAGCTACTTGTGAGGCTGAGGTGGAAGGATCACCTGAGCCTGGGAGGTTGAGGCTGCAGTGACTGCACTCCAGCCTGGATGACAATGTGATCCTGTCTCAACAACAACAGAAAGGGATACTTTTTAAAACTAATGAGAAGAACGACATTGTTGGACATTTTTGCAAATTTTTTTTAATGTCTGGCTTAATTAAAGCCAGATTCTCATATATGCTTCTGCCTTCACTCTGTTGTGATATGTTATTTTTGTTGAAATATATGAAGAAAATATTCAAACCCAAACTGTGTTCTTGTATATTTTCTTTAAAGCAACAAGCTCATTTCATACACTTTTGAGAAAAATGTCTGTCAGGTTCCCAAATTTGAATAACCAACGGTTGTCTGTTAATAAACTAAAAACAGCATTCTCTGGAAAAAGCAAATAAAATGATTGCACAAGTGTTTTTCCTGGAGACATGCATTTTACTTTGGTTGGTAGCAGGAATGCTTCCCATTTTAGCACATAGAGTATGAAAACACTGTCAACTCAACATTGAGAGTTAATGAAATTAATTTTTTCATTGTTTCATCAAGAATATCCTTATATGAACCTGGCAACTTTTTAACTGAAAGTTAAATGCAGGGACTGCTAGTACAGCTTGGGGCCACCACATTGATTTGTGCTAAGATGCCAGCAGCTTAATCCACCATTCCTTTTACTTTGTGAGTGCAAATGTTGACACAGAAAGAGGCAAATAATGTCTTGAATCATTATGGAAATAGGTTTGATCTTGGGGACTTCTGAAGGTTTGTGAACTACACTTTGAGAACTGCTGGAAGGGATGAACATTAACACTGGGAGTTGTTTCGGCTGCTCTTCCTCCCCTCAGGGAAAAAAAGAATCAAATGAGAGCCTGATTTTCAGGCATAAAGGAGTGGGAGAGGGAACAAATGTTTATGACATTCCTGTTCATTCTCATTTAAGCCTCATAACTGTCATAACTGTCGTGTACACTAGATATTGTTGTCCCCTTTTTGCAAATTAGATAAACAGGTCTTGAGGGTTAGAATAGCTTGCCTAAGGTCATAGAACCTAGTAAGTATGGCCAGTGGCCTGGAACTAGAGTCTCCCCTAGGCCACACTTGTCTCCACATGGATATAACTGATCCTGGAGTGAGAAGAGGCTAACTCAAAGGTTAGAATAACTTTGTCCTATCCTTGTATCTCTTGAGCCCTTGCGTTAGTTTCTTATTTTTAACCTTATTAACCTTTTCTAATTAGAACAGTAGGAATTCCTGATTAGAAAGATGGTCATGGAAACAGCAGATAAACTGTTTATCTTTGCTCTAATTTGTAAAATTAAAATAAAGTCATAGAAAAAATATTGTCAGAGTTAGAAGTCAGGAACCTAGTTTATCTGGTGGGCTTCTTGGTTTTTAGAATTGTTAGTACTAGTTTGCTGTTGAAGTGCTTACTTAGGTTGGAGGGAAAGTAGTATAAGTGAGTAAATACCAGGCTTTATAAGCGGCCTTGAGAGTGTCTTGATTGAGTAGTGAATATACTACCGAAGTTAATGCTATTTCCTAGTCCTTAATGCACAGTAATTTGAGAGGTATTTTCTTCAAGTTAAAAGGCACAATTTTAAGATTTCCTAAAGATGGCTAGGCATGGTGGCTCTCACCTGTAATTCCAGCATTTTGGGAGGCTGAGTCTCTACTAAAAATACAAAAATTAGCTGGGCGTCATGGCGGGCGCCTGTAATCCCAGCTACTTTGGAGGCTGAGGCAGGAGAATCACTTGAACCCAGGAGGCGGAGGTTGCCGTGAGCCAAGATCGCGCCATTCCACTCCAGCCTGGGCAACAGAGCGAAACTCCGTCTTAAAAAAAAAAAAAAAGATTACCTAAAGATGTCTTTTTGTTTAGTGTACACCTTTTTGCTTTCTATAAAAAGGCTGGGAGTTTCATAATACCAAACAGGGAGTAACTACAGAAAATTTTTAGTGACCAGTACCTATACTTTGAAAGAGGGTTAGGAGGAAAACCATCATAGAATCTCAGAATTAACAAAAATTTATTATGCATTATGTTAGAATCATGTCAAATACAACTTATCCAGATTTTTATTGTTTGTTCACCATGAATATTTGTTCATTGAGGGTATATCTGGACTTGCCAAAGGAATGAGAATACAGGTGTGTAATATTTAGCTTGATATTATGTTATAAGTAACTTTAGGGATTAACTAGTCAAGTCATTTTAAAACAGTGGAACCTTTTCTTTACTTGAAATTATATCCAGAGTCCAGTATTTGAAGCATAAAAGGCAAGTGGTTGAAAGGTTGAAATGAGAGTTATGGGCCCAGAATTCTCGTGCTTGCCTGCAAGTTCTGTTTATCACTGTAGCGAGTCCTTGGTTAGTAGTATTAGTGTGTTAGTACTACAGTGTTAGTGTGCATTAGTGTTCACTCTGTGCCAGCTCTTGTACTAAAGCACTTTACATGTATGATTTCACAGTTTGAAAACCACTTACCTAGTTCAGCTTCTGATTTTTTTCTGTTAAGAAACAGGTCCAGAGAGCTTAAATGAATTGCCCAGGATCTGAAACTAGTTTTCAATAGAGTTCGTATTATTAAAATCCTTATAGTCAGTTTAGCTAGTGGCATGTGTGTGATGTTTTATTTTTCCAGTTGTTAGATTAATTCAGGTCTTTTGCAGTTAAATAAAAATTTACAGAAGAGTATAAAACAGAAAAAATACTTGACTTTCAGTATCTAGGACTTTGATAATATTTTGGTGTGAATCCTTCTAGGCTCCTTTGTAAGTTTTTTATTTTTTAAAAATAGAAGTGGGATCCCCTGTGGTGCGCAGGCTGGTCTCGAACTCCTGGGCTCAAGTGGTCTTCCCACCTCAGCCTCCCAGAGTGCTGGGATTCCAGGCAGGAGCCACTGCACCCAGCTCATAAATTGTTTCTTTGTTAGAAAATTGACATACCCACCATACCATTTTATTGTGAGCTTTTAAATGCTTAAGAATATATTCTAAGCATATTTCCTGTTTGCCTACGTGTTCTTTGTAAGAATGATTAATGAAATTTCACTACATTTGAGCAATTTAATCAGTTTCTCACTATTGGACATTTATGTTTAGAGGTTTTTCTTTTGTTGTTGTATGTAATGTACACCTGTGAGCATTCATTTTTTAGAACATAAACTTCTAGATTTCCAATTACTATGTCAGCAGGCATTTAAAAAATGTTTTGGGCTGGGCATGGTGGCTAACGCCTGTAATCCCAGCACTTTGGGAGGCCGAGGTGGGTGGATCGCATGAGGTCAGGAGTTTGAGACCAGCCTGGCCCAACATGGTGAAACCCCATCTCTACCAAAAATACAAAAATTGGCTGGGTGTGATGTTGCACACCTGTAGTCCCAGCTACTCAGGAGGCTGAGACAGAATTGCTTGAACCTGAGAGGCAGAGGTTACAGTGAGCTGAGATTGTGCCACTGCTCTCCAGCCTGGGCAACAGAGCAAGACTCTGTCTTGAAAAAATAAAAAAATGTGTTTTGAAACGTGTTGCCCAAGTAATCTCCAGGAAGGATTTGCCAGTTTATTTTTCAAGACAGGGTCTTCCTGTCATCCAGGCTGGAGTGCAGTGGTGCGATCTCAGCTCAGTGTAACCTCTGCCTCCTGGGTTCAAGTGATTTTCATGCCTCAACCTCCCAAGTAGCTTGGATTACAGGCATGTGCTACCACCCCCGGTTAATTTTTCATATTTTTAGTAGAGACAGGGTTTCGCCGTCTTGGGCTGGTCTTGGGCTCCTGGCCTCAAATGTCGGGCCAGCCTTGCCTCCCAAAGTGTGTGAGCCACCATGCCCAACTGGTTTTGCCATTTCATATGTTCGTAATACTTGTTATTGAATTGTTGTGAGCCCTGGACAATGCAGTTAAAACAAATGGATGTCATTTTAATTTACATTTTTTGGTTATAAATGAGGTGCGACTTTGCCCTTTTATATTAATTAGTTATTTTTTTTTTCTTTTGTATACTGCTAGTTCTTTTACTTGTTTTTCTATTTGAAAACAAGTTTTTTTTTTCTTATTTCTTTTCTTTTTCTTATTTTAAATAAGAAAAGGAGTTCAAGATGCACACCCACTGACATCATACCTCCCTGCCCCTCCAACAGTTCATTACGTCTGTTGCAATTTTTTTTGAGACAGAGTCTCACTCTGTCGCCCAGGCTGGAGTGCATGGTGCAATCTTCGCTGACGGCAACCTCCGCCTCCCTGGTTCAAGCGATTCTCCTGCCTCAACTTCCCAAGTAGCTGGGATTACAGGTGCACACCGCCATACCTGGCTAATGTTTTTGTATTTTAGTAGAGTCGGGGTTTCACCGTGTTACCCAGGCTGGTCTTGAACTCCTGAGGTCAGGCAGTCAACCCGCCTTGGCCTCCCAAAGTGCTGGGATTGCAGGTGTGAGCCACCACGCCTGGCCCAATTTTTTTTTTTTTTGAAATGGAGTCTCACTCTGTTGCCCAGGCGGGAGTGCATTGGTGTGATCTTGGCTCACTGCAACCTCTGCCCCCCCAGTTCAAGCGATTCTCCCACCTCAGCTGCTGGGATTACAGGTGCGCGTCACCACACCTACCTAATTTTTTTGTATTTTGGTACAGATGGGGTTTTACCACATTGCCCTGGCTGGCGTCAAATTCCTGAGCTCAGGCAATCTGCCCATGTTGGCCTCCCAAAGTGCTAGGTTTACAGGCTTGAGCCACTGCGCCCAGTAATTTTTTCGGGGGGAAAAATGTTTTTTTAAAAGTCATTACCTTTTGACAAAACTAAGTCCTAACTTTCTTTTTCCTTACATGCATGTATGCCTGATTGTCTTGTCTTTTGTGATGTTATTCACTGACCATTGCCTACATTCATTAATTCATTAGTTTTTTCAAAAGGTGATAGTGTAATATTACTGTTTCTTATTTATTCATTTCTGGAGTATTTTGTAAAGAGAAACTTTCTTGCCCGGTGTGGTGTCTCATGCCTGTCATCCCAGCACTTGGGGAGGCCAAGGTGGGAGGATCACTTGAGGCCAAGAATTTAAGCCTAGAGTGGGGAACATAGTGAGACCTCACTTCTACAAAAAAGATAAATATTCCCATATCAACTATTTGTATACTTCAGGTTGAGTTTGTGAGGGAAAGTCAGGATGCATGTTTGATTCTTTCCTTTTGCTTAGCACATTGAAAATAGTTGATACACTGCCTTCCAAAAAAAAACAATTAAGTGACTTATGGATTCAGGAATGTTTGGGTTTTATTATATTTGTTGATACATATGATTTTATCTGCAGCCAGCAGGAGCTCCTTTAAAACTGCATCTGAGGCTGGGCACGGTGGCACACACCTGTAATCCCAGCACTTTGGGAGGCCGAGGCGGGCGAATCACAAGGTCAGGAGATCGATAGCATCCTGGCTAACACAGTGAAACCCTGTCTCTACTAAAAATACAAAAAATTAGCTGGGCGTGGTGGCAGATGCCTGTAGTCCCAGCTACTCGGGAGGCTGAGGCAGGAGAATGGCATGAACCCGGGAGGCGGAGCTTGCAGTGAGCCGAGATCTCGCCACTGCACTCCAGCCCGGGCGACAGAGCGAGACCCTGTCTCAAAACAAACAAACCAACAAACAAACAAACAAACAAACAAAAACCAAAAAAAAACTGCATCTGAGGTGCAGGGCTGAGATTCAGCCTTTCTGATCTCAGAGCTCTTGCTCTCGAAGACCGTGTACACAATAGAATTGTGCGGTCTATTCTGAGGTACCTAGAAGAAAGGGAAACTTGCTGCGGATTTGTGGGGAGTAAAGTTAATCAGTTTGCTTACTGATCAGCACAACAATTTTTTTTTTTTTAAATTTTTAGAGTGGGGACAGGTCTCACTTTGTTGCTCAGGCTAGAGTGCATGTGGCATGATCATAGCTCATTGCAGCCTCAAACTTCTGGGCTCAAGTGGTTTTCTACCTCAGCCTCGTGACTAACTGGGACTGCAGGTATGCACCACCACATTTGGCTAACTACAAAAAAAATTTTTTTTTCTTTTTTTTTTTTGAGACAGAGTCTCGCTCTGTTGCCCAGGCTGGAGTGCAGTGGCACAATCTCGGCTCACCTCAGCCTCAACCTTCTGGGCTCACGTGATCCTCCCATCCCAGCCTTCCAAATAGCTGGGACCACAGGCGCATGCTACCATGCCAGGGCAATTTTTCTGCATTTTTTTTGTAGAGATGAGGTCTTGCTGTGTTGTTTAGGCTAATTTTGAACCCTGGGCTCAAGCAGTCCTGCTACCTTGGTCTCCCCAAAGTGCTGGGATTACAGGTGTGAGCCACCGTGCCCCGCCAAAGCACTTTTTATGATCACGCTTTTGACAATAGCTGTAGCAAGGTTTTGACTTGTCCAGAGTAGCACAAATGGTAGTACTTTGAACATCAGAATGTTTTCAGTGTTTTGAAGCATTCTAAAATACATTGTATGCTTCTCTACCACTTGAGATTTTTTTTCAAATCTTAAAAAATCTTAGATTTGAAGATTCTTCTTTCAAGGAAGAAAGGTGATATGGTGTCTCTGCTGCCCTGTCACTGAAACTAGGTGCTCGGGTGTGGGCACAGGGAGGAATTTGTTTTGACCCAAAGAAAACTTGGTTCCACGGGGTTTGCCTTTCCCTGGCCTTCCCCTTCTCCTCTTTTTTTTCTTGTTTGAGCTTCTTGACTCACTCCGAGTAACTGGCCTTTTATATGCATCCGTTAGTCAGAGTACTCTTTCTGGGTTTGCTGGCTGAGCAGTGTCCCCTGGTCTTTGGGCTTTTGATTCTGTATTTGTGGTAACTTGAAACAGTTTCTTTTTCATCTCCACCATGTATCTCCTTTTGTCTTGAGAGCATTTTCTTTTTTGGGGGGTGGAGGTTGTTTGGGTTTTTCTGCCTCCCTTTTTCTAGAATCAGAGCTCATTAAACTCGTCAATAAGGAGAGCGACTTGAGCACAAGCAGTGCTAGAAAGAATCAACAGGCAGATGTTGTACCTGCATTGTATTGTGGTTAGGGCACAAGTGCAACTGTACCTGCATACCCTGGTTGGCAGCATAGAAATAGCAGGCTGGATATAAAAGGAAAATTGACAACAGACTGTAAAAACAGTGGGCAATGAGGTGTGTCTGTGGCTGCAGAAGAGACAAAATAGAGCAGCTGGCAGTCTGGAAGGGTAGGGTCCCAGGGTCCGTGAGAGACAACCTCAAGTGTGTGGGTGTTCTCAGTTCCAGGGAGCACCAAGGCACACATGCAGCAGGGCTATTGATGCTCCAGCTTTCCTGTTGCTGTCTCCTCTAGGAAAGGCAAACAAGCAGAAAAGGAGTAGCAAAAATTGTGTTTAATTAAAAAAGAAAACTCGTATCTGCATGTGATTCCGAAGATTGAATGTGACAAGTGGTTTTGGTTTTGCTGTTTTGTGACAAGTGGTTTTGGTTTTGCTGTTTTCTGTGGTGTGTTAGTCAGCTTGGGCTGTTATAACAGAACACTGTAGACCACTCCCAAAGTGCTTTAACAACAGAATATGCTTTTCTCACAGTTCTGGAGGCTGGAAGTCTGAGATCAGGGTGCCTGCCAAGGTGGAGGCTGGGGTAAGGATGTTGTTGTCATTGGTGGCGGATAGCTCTCTTTTCCTCTTCTTACAAGCCACAGTTTTGTCACATTAGGGGCCCACACTTCTGACCTTAATTCCGTTCTCCAGATTCAGTCACATTGGGAGTTAGGGTTTAAACATGTGCATTTTGGGGAGAGAGAGTTCATTCCATAGTGTATGGCATTGCAGCTCCAAAAGAACGGTTGCTCACCATTTTTTGTTTTGTTTTGTTTTGTATATCACATAGTGTGCAACCAGTACCATTATCTTAATTCCAGAACATGTTCATCATTCCAGAAAGAAATTCCATATCCATTAGCAGTTACCTTTGTGCCATTAGCACTTTCTGAGCAGTTATTCCCTACTTCTTTTGCGCCAGCATCTGGCCGCCACCAGTCTGCCAGATGCTGGCGCAAAGAAAGTAGAGAATAACAGAACAAATTTACCTGTTCTGAAAATTTAACATATTTAATGACCATTTGTGTCTGACTTTGTTCATATAGTATAATGTTTTCAAGGTTCATCTACCCCCTCACCCTTTGTTGTTGTTGTTGTTGTTTTTTGAGACAGAGTCTCACTCTGTTGCCTAGGCCAGAGTGCAGTGGCGGGATCTCAGCTCATCACAAGCTCCGCCTTCTGGGTTCAAGTGATTCTCCAGCCTCAGCCTCCTAAGTAGCTGGGACTAAAGGCATGCACCACCATGCCCGGCTAATTTTTGTATTTTTAGTAGAGATGTAGTTTCACTATATTGGCCAGGCTGGTCTTGAAGTCCTGACTTTGTGATCCCCCCACCTTGGCCTCCCAAAGTGCTGGGAATACAGGCGTGAGCCACTGCGCCCAGCCAAGGTTCATCTACTTTGTAGCATGTATCAGTACTTCATCTTGAAATTATTTATTCATTTACATTTTATTTTTAATTTTTATTTATTTTTGTCTTCAAGGTCCATCCATGTTGTAGCATTTGTCAAACTTCATTTGCTTTTATGACTGAATAATATTACATTGTATATATGTACCACAATTTGTTTACTCTCCCATTGATGGCATTTGGATTGTTTCTTCCGTTTAGTTATGAATAGAACTATACCAACATTCTTGTACAAAGATTTGAGTTCTTGTTTTCTTTGAGTATAAATCTAGAATGTAATTGCTGGGTCATAGATTAATTTCTGTGCTTTAGTTTTTGAGGAACCACCAAACTTTTTCACAGTGTTGAAACTATTGTACATGATGACCATCTGAGCTATTTTACATAATCACCAGCAATGTACAAGGGTTCCAGTTTTCTGCATCCTTGCCTACACTTATTGTTTTTATTTCTGTTTATAGAAGTCCTGATGGATGTGAGGTGGTATTTCATGGTTTTTATTTGCATTCTCCTAATGACTGATGTTAAGCATCTTTTCATGTGTTTTTGGCCATTTTTATATCTTTAGAGAAATGACTGCTGAAATCCTTTGCTTGTTGGCCAGGTGCAGTGACTCACGCCTGTAATCCCAGCACTTTGGGAGGCCTAGGTGGGCAGATCACCTGAGGTCAGGAGTTCAAGATCAGCCCAGCCAACATGGTGAAACCTATCTTTGCTAAAAATACAAAAAATTAGTTGGGCGTGGTGGCAGGTGCCACTAGTCCCAGTTACTCGGAAGGCTGAGGCAGAAGAATCGCTTAAACCCAGGAGGTGGAAGTTGCCGTGGGTCCAGATCGTGCCACTGTAGTCCAGCCTGGGCGACAAGAGTGAAACTCCGTCTCCAAAAAAAAAAAGAAATTATTTGCTTGTTATTTAATTGGGTTATTTATTTTTTTGTTGGTGAGTTGTAAGAGTTCTTTACATACTCTTGACCCTTGTCAGATATATGATGTGCAGATATTTTTTTCATTCTGTAGGTTTCCTTTTCACTTTTTTGGCAATGTCCTTTGATGCCCAAAACAGCTCTTTACTTTTTATTACAGTTTTTAGTCAAGTAAGGCAGTTAAGGAGGGTTGTACTGTGTGCACAACTGAGCTCCTCCTAGGTTGTGGGTTGTCTGATGGAAAGGGTGTAAAAAGGCTGAAGCAATTGACGTTAATATTGTGTATTTGTGGAAGGGTGGATTTGGCTTTTAAAACTGAGACATAACTTAGTTTTTTAATGCTCCATTTTCATTCCACAAAAGATTTGAGGAAGCTTATAATAGATGTGCCAAGAACTGGGATCAAAGGAAAAATAAGTAGAATAAAGATTGGGGAAAAGAATGTCACTGGAGAGTTCTAGATGGAAAAGAAATATATAGCAGTAGTGTAGGATTATGGGTAATCCAAAATTTTCTTCTTTGTATGTGACTTTCATATTTTTTATTATTTATTTATTTTGAGACAAGTTCTCAGTATGTCACCCGGGCTGGAGTGCAGTGGCGCGATCTCAGCTCACTACAACCTCTGCCTCTTGGGTTCAAACAGTCCTCGCTCCTTAGTCTCTCGAGTAGCTGGGACTACAGGAGTGTGCCACCATGCCCCGCTAAATTTTTGTATTTTTGGTAAACATGGAGTTTTGCCATGTTGCCCAGGCTGGTCTTGAACTCCTGAGCTCAGGTGAGCCACCACGTCCAGCCTATTTTTTCATAATTTTTACATTTAATATTTCTTTAGCAAAGAGAACATTTTACTAAAATATTACAATTCTGAATGCATTTACTAGACTTGCTGCGTTCTGTGCACTTATGTATGATCCATTGTCATGGTTTTATCTGCTACCTGTGTTTGTCCTCAGTCTCTCCCTGTTCCCTGAACTTCAGTTGGTTCAGCTGTTCCACTTCCCAGTACCTCATGGGGTCTTGGACTCAGCAGTATACCTCCCAGGCTCATCTCCCTAGCCTTACACCTTTGCGTTCCATGTTTTCTCTGCTACAGCCTGGCCCCTCTGTGTCTTCCTTTCCATTTGGCTCAGACCTACTGGGACTCATATCAGATCTCACCCCCAGAGGGAGGATTTCCCTGACTCCTTACTCCCCCAAGCGTGAGGACTTCCTTTGCCTACCTCTGTCATTGTGCAGACCACAGTGCTCACAGCGTTATGTCTATGTGATTTTTTTCTCCTCTACTGGCTTTTGAGCCCCTCAGGGATATAGACTGAGACTTACTGTTTATCCTCGTGTAACAGAGTGTGTGGCCCAAGGTTGGCAGCAGTACCTGTCTGCAAAATGGATAAGCAAGATCTATAATGTTACGGGAGGCAAACTGGTGGATGTGGGCTGGATCACTTCTGTAGATGTGATCATGTGGTTGACAGTGCTTTAAAATTGCAGGTATTTTACATCAAAGTCTCTATAGTTTCCATAGTCTGAAAAAAATGTGACTATTTGGCCACTCTGGGTCAGCATGCTTTCATGATAGTTGTTCACTAGGCATTTTTGGTGGTTTGCCACAGATTGGTGTTTTTCTAAAAGATGGGGTTCTGGTTTCTGGCATGTTTTTGCAGTTCTGGCTTTCTGAATGGCTGATTGAGGATAGAGCTTTAATGCAGATACTCGTGTATGTGTAGATACACATGTATACGCTAAAATATACACAAAATGCTGATGAATTTTCTTTTCTTTTCTTTTTTTTTTTTTGAGACAGAGTCTTGCTCTGTTGCCCAGGCTGGAGTGCAGTGGCGCGATCTCGGCTCACTGCAAGCTCCGCCTCCCGGGTTCACGCCATTCTCCTGCCTCAGCCTCCTGAGTAGCTGGGACTACAGGTGCTCGCCACTGCGCCCGGCTAATTTTTTGTATTTTTAGTAGAGACGGGGTTTCACCATGGTCTCGATCTCCTGACCTTGTGATCCGCCCACCTCGGCCTCCCAAAGTGCTGGGATTACAGGCGTGAGCCACCGCGCCCGGCCGATGAATTGAATTTTCAAGACCTTTAGCTGAATAACTATCCTAGGATACTTCAGTGATGAAGGCTCCCATAAAATGAAATGTTTAGTGACTGGAAAAGTTTATCATTTGGAAGTTCATAGACTCCTCAAAGAAAAATGGACATATTGTCTATGCTTTTAATATATTTGTTTTCCTTTTAGGTAAAATGAGCTTTTTTTTTCTTTCTTTTTTTTTCTTGTGACCTTCAGCAAATATTTATAGACTTGCATGAGAAGTTTTTAATTCCTTTTTGAAATTAAAGATTGAGTTTTGTTACTTATGTTCGGAATTTTAAGAGCAATAAGTAAATGGTATTCTTATGAGTGTATGCAAAGTTTGTGTGCACCTTTTTTGGAGACACTATGGTCCATAATTCCCATTATATTTTTACAGGGGAGTGATTACAGGCGCACTGAAGCAAAGGACTGGGGCCATAGGAAATGAAGCAGCATTGAAGGGCCCTAAGCAGGATTCTGCAGTGATGCGGGTTAAGGATTAGGAAAGTGTGAGGGTAGGAGACCTAGTAGGGGCCAGAAATGATGACAGCTCCAACCAGGATGAAGGATTACAGAGAGAGAAATCCTGTTTAGTTTTCATGGAGTTTTAAGTAATCTGAGTACTTATGTTAATTATGAAACTGTGATACTATGGCCGAGAATATCCTCTTAATAAGCTACTATGTAGACTGAATTAGAAAAAATGGTAAAATAGTCTCATAGCTCTCTGTAGGAAAAGAACCTTTAGTTGGATAAGCAGAAACCACTTTCCACCTTGTGATACATTAAAGGTATAGGTGTCGGGTGCTTTAGGAACTGCAGAAGTGGTCCTGCCAGTTGGAAAAGTGGTACTACCATAAGAATTTTGGATTATAGTTTCTTAGTAGTCATCAGAATGAAGGTTATATTAAAATCCATACAATTTTATGAAAATGAGTACATGCCCATCATTCCTTAAGGAAGTCCCCTCCCCCTGTTGGTTGCCCTAAATAAGTTCCAATATACAGGACTTGCCAATTTTTATAAATAACAACTGCCTGAACATTTTTGCACGTAAACACATCCAGCCTGCTCAGTAATGGGTTTTCTAGAGTGCTCAGAGAACATAATCTTGTCAGTACTTGGGAGGTAGCATAAGAGAAGGGAGAGCAGAAGAAATATTCAGGTGCCAACTCAGTCTGTTTCACAGTTGGTTGTTGGCGAAAGAAGGTCAGGGTTTGTTTCCAGCATGTTTTTGAAATTCCCCTTAGTACAGAATTTTCCGTGAAAACAATGTAAACTCCAGGTGGACCAACAAAAACTCTAACCCTAAACTGCTAATTTGGTGGTATATTTGGGTGACAAGCCCATAACTATAGTAGTAAAGCTATCAGTTAATATTACTAAGTTCTCCCACTTTGCCAAACACTTTGCAAAAACACTTTTGCATATGTTATGTTATGTTAACCTCACCACAATCTTATGAGATACATGATGGAATCCAGAATTAGAGACAGAAAGTAATTTGAATTTCAGGAGCTATCTTTTGAGTCCAAGTAATGTACCAAAGCTCGTACTGTTCATCACTGTATATCCTACTTCACTGTTATTATGATGATTATACAAGATAAAGCATATATTATTTCTGATTATAAAATATGCACTTAAACTTAGGAAATTCAAAAATGTGGAAATAAGGGGGAAAAAACCCCACCCAC